TAATCCATATTTAATCCATCCATATTTGCCGTTTAAAAATACGAATTAAATATAAGCATCGACGCTGTTTATATTTTTATACGCAAAAATTATGCGAAGGAAATCTTTTTTTTCTTTTTTCTCTTTTTCCTTCGAGAGATATTTTTACGATCGCAAAAAAAAAAAAAAACTCAAAAATCATCGTAAACATTCCGCACCTGTGACTGGAAAATCGATCCGGTTTTAACATTCGCCTCCTTAATCGTGTCTCAAGATTAGATATTTAAAACTCGTGCAAACTCTTTCCTCCTTCGCACGAACGATCGTTCAAACGAATGCACACGTATACAAACATATATTCTAGCATGTGTTGCAATATAATGCTTTCAATGCATTTCCATACAAATTATTGCACGTGGGGGGAGGAAGGGGAAGGAGAAAAATACATTCCGTTTTTTTTTTACGGATCTCCTCCCCTGTCCTCCCCTCTCGCTCCTCGTGTGTACGAAAGTGTGTACATACGCCATTTAGAATTGGAAAGATAACCTTTCCCACGCGATAAGAAGATGAATAATCGACCGTTTGCCGAGGTCGTGGAAAAATATCCTTATCTATGTGCACGATGATTTCGATTATGGGATTTCTGCGCTGTGTAACAATATTGTATGGCCGGTATAATGATAAATTGATAAATTGAGACTAATTGTTCGAGCCGATTAGACTAATTGAGCAATTTCTAAATTAATAAATCCGAGGTTTCAATAATATCTCTGTATCTCTCTTTTCGGTTTTACATTAGTCTAGATCTGTCCCGATTAGATCGTTTCGAGAGATGTTTTACAACATTCATCGATAAAAGAATTCTTCTTGACGAGAGAAAAAGAGAGAGAGAGAGAAGGCAACGCAAAAAAACTTTCAATTCGGTACGGAGCTCGAGATGCGGTTTAATCAGGAAGGAACTGCGGATTAGTCCACTCCACTTCTATCTCGTGAAACGGTGAAACCGTGCCACGGTGAAAAATTAATCATAAAATCCATCCATGCCTTTTTGCACGTTTTTTCTTATGGTAATTTCGCTCTAATAATAAAGCATCGTTAAAGTTCAAGTTTCTTCTCTCTCTCTCTCTCTCTCTCTCCGGTATCTTAAATCGTAACAACGATAATTTATTTCGCGATGACGGAATGGATCGCCAATCGCAACGTCCTCCAGATCGATGAAGGAAAAAAGAAAAAAAAAAATATTGAGGAAAAATGAAGAAGAAGAAACGTGGTGGTGAGGCTCTTATCTGGACGCTCCCCGAAGTTATTAAGCGTCGAGGCGCGGGATAAGTAGGGCAGCTAAGCGGCGATGCTTTGTGATGTAGATAACTCGCGGCTAATGCATTCGCACGCACGCCTCTACGCGTGCACGCCACGATTCTTCTCCGTGTGTGTGTGTGTGTGTTGTGCGCGTATGCATGCACGATGGAATGCGCGGGTAAACAAAGAGCACGCGCGTCTACAGCGCGTTACACACGTCCGCCGCTCCCCTCCTTTAACGGGAAAAATTGTTGAAAATCGAATCGAATAAGTATTACGCGATCACTAGCCTGGATTAAATAAATCGTGGAAACGGACTGTCTACGGTACGAGGGTTTAGGTTAGGTTAGAACGAGGTAGGTTAGAAGGAGAAAAAGGAGAGTGGTGTCGCTCGCGTCACTCGCGAATGTAAACATAAAATCCGTTGGGTTGGAACGAGGTATAGCGATGTCTCGCTACGGGACAAAGGAAATCTACATTGAATACGGTGTATGTCGGTGGAAAGCTGTTAGTTAAAGGCTTGGGGATTAGTCGTTAAAGCGAAGCGGCCTGTGTTACAGTGTGCAAGCCCGCGATAATAATACCATAATTCCGCTCTCTCTCTCTCTCTTTCTCTCTCGGGAATAATGGAATACTTACGTAGTCCAGTACCAGTGACCTAGTGGCGTAATGGCGGCGAGCAAAACGACATCTTTGATAGCGCAGCTGCGTTATTTCATGCATGTTATTAACCACGCTATCTCTATCCTCGTCCAACGCCTCGGATTCCTTCTCCAATCCCTTCCCCCCTCGCATAATTTATTCCACTCCATCGTGAAATATCGTTTATTGCAATATATCGGAGAATCGGTTCCGAGAATCGAAGAATCGAAAAATTTTGCATAGTTTCCCGTCATTGTCGCTTCCGAACAATGATGTTAACGCGAGGCTGGGCTTTCGTCTCGATTCCGAGAAACACGGTTTCCGTGTTTACTCGCCTATTTCCACGCGCTCTATCCTTCCTTTCCCCCACTCGAATCATCATCGAAAAATCTTATTTTAAACTCGAAAATAACAATCGAAAACGATGCAAAATTCCAAAATCGAATTTGACTCGAGTTATCGAAAAATCTCATCTTTTTTAATAGGCAATCGAAAACAATACCCATCGAATATGAATCTCGAAGCTGCTAAAATCGAATTTCATCTTTTTTGAACTTGAAAGAACAGTAGACGATAAAAACAATATCCATGGAAACGATGCAGATAATTCGAATATAATTAAAAAGATACACGCTTTCAAGGATTTTTTTCAATTCGATATCGAAAAGAAAGGAGGTGTAACGAGGTTCTGTTATCGATGAAAACGGAAAACGTTGGACGATCGATTCGAATGCAAATGGGCGATGGAGGCGGCGCATAATGGGTCCCGCGCCCCTTGTATGCCGATCCGTCCACCGAAAATACACGATACGAAAGTGGGCTTCCAATTTTCTTATGCTAATTCCCTCCGGCCGGCCTCCATTCGGATGGAATTCCTTTTCAGAGTTCGAGATGCGTTTCATTCGCTTCACGTGCACGCGTAACGAGGACGCGCAGCAAGGATCATATTCTTTTGAAAATCGAGTCACGGATTCCGCGGCTTGCAAAATACTCATCGATGCATCCGAGATATACGCGCAACACCGACCATATGATTCGAATAAAAAAACGATCAGCGTGACGAATCACGCTTTTGCCTTTGAACGACCGATGACCTTAAAAAAAAAAAAAAGTGTTTCTAAGAATCTTATCTCGTTTATTATTTTTATCATATATTAGGGCGGGATGTTTTCAAAAATTTGTTTGCAAAAAAAAAAATTGATAACCGTAAAAAGAAATATGCGATTAGAAGATGTTTGGAAAAAAAAAGGAAATTACAGTTCGAGGAAAGTAATTGTTGAAAATTGTTAAAACGATCGAAATTCCATTCGAGATATTTAAAAGTAAAATTTCATTCTTGGCCCAAAAGAATATTGAGAAAAGTAATGAATATTCTATGGGTTGCCGAGTTAATGTAAATCAAGATAAATATGAATAATTGAAAACTAATTCCTTTTGCCATTTATGAGACGTGTAATTTACCAAATCGAAAAGTGAAAGTGCGAGAGACTATGTAGCCGAAATGAAACCGAGTTCTCACGAAAGAACAACTTGATCGACGATTCGAAAAGAAGAGAAGAGAAGAAGTGAAAATAAATGAGACGAAAGAAAGAAAGATGGCATAAGCGACGCACAGGCCACTTCGAATCAAAAACCGATATCGTGCCGTTCAAACGTTCGGTAAACAAATGGCATTTTGCCAGTTTCGAGGCAATACACCGATTGGCAGCGCACCAATTTATCACGTGACCGGTTAACGAGCCAATAGATTTCGTAGAACGTCACTGACGTATTTAACCCGGACGAATAGCGGTCGTCGACGAATTTCAAAATACTAATTCGTTAGAATATATATATATATATTTTTTCCTGAAAGACAGCTCGACTAATTGGCCATTATATCGATCCTTGGAAAAGACGAATATACGCCAGATATATTTTTACACGTGAAAATATAACATCCAAATTTTTCTACTATATTTGAAAATTTCTACAAATCTTATCTACTTAGTTTTCACTTAGTAAAATTTGTATACTTGAATTTCTCCTTATCGATTCTTCTTTTCTTTTTTTCCTCTCTCCAAAAACAGAAAGAAATCATCCTCGAAACGGTCGTTGAAAAGGAAGCGAGGAACCGAAACTCCTCTCTCTCGCTCTCGCTCTGTTCCTGCCCGTGAAACAAAGAAAGGCAAAGTTTACGTTAGATAAGGAATTGCGTGCCGGTCGAGCAAACAGAGATTTCGAACCGCTTTGTTGGAATCGCTGACAAAGATCCAGATTATGCGGAGCCAGCGCTGGACTCGCGATAAGGGAATAGTTCGAAGGCCGCGCGGTTAGATATATCGGCTGGCGAAACGGAACAAAGAAACGGACGAAACGCACGTTTTCTTTTTTTTTTTCCTTTTCTTTTTCTTTTTCTTTTCTTCCCGATTTATCGCGTGTCGGACACGGTGTCAATTGCTCGAAACGCCGTTAAAGGAGACAACGGAGGACAAAGGAGTGAATGGGAAGGGACTTTGTACCTCTTTTCATTTCTAAAATAATTACGGCCTATTATCCTGCATTGTACATTTCACACTTTGAAACATTCGAAACTTGTTTAAAAAAAAAAAAAGAAATAATAATTACAGCCGATAGGTTTGAATTGCAGGAATGGATGAGAAGAAATAGAAAAATTCTCCATCCATATTTTATTCCATTTGTAAACTATTAATAGGCTAAACTCATTGTCACTTACAATGCTGTGATGACATCTTATCTACATACATACATACATCTTATCTACAATATCGAAAATTCTACAATTTATCTCGAATCCCAAGTTTTTAGACAAACTTGTAAACGAAGAGAAACTAAAATCTGGAGACACCCTGTATATATATATATTATATTACGAACGAATTAGAAGTTGAAGTTAGTTGAAAAGTTAAGAAGGTGTCGCAAGTGTATTTTTTCCAAATGCAATTTGAAATCGTTTAAATGAACAGCCGTTGCATTATGGGGTGCTCGTAATAAATGGAAGCTGAAAAATGCGAAGGCTTTATTCACGGAACCAGGCAAGGTCGCACGAACCCTTCTGGACCTGCGGCTAGCCAAGGAATGCAAGAGAAAATACAAAACCACCGAATATATACCTCGTTGGTGAACCACTTCCTCGTTCTAGCGTTTCGTGCGTTTTCTGACACCTTTCAACCCTTTGTCTCTCTTCTCTTCTTTTCGAAACACGAATCGACGAGGTATGAAAACGAAACGTGTCCATCAATAGATGGGGAAATCGATTTTTTTTCTTTGCAAGAGATCGGTAAGAGAGCGATGTTGACGAAGGAATTTCGAGTCTCTCTTTCTATGACGTAATTTGGAATTCCTGATCGTTCGATCGTCTATTGTCAAGATTCGCTTTCTCCAAACCTTTTAGCCTCTGTTTGAACAAGTTTCTCGAGTAGGTGGTATCATACATATTTTTTTTCTCAAAATTGTGACTGGAATTTGGGATACTCGAAGGTAGATAAGCGTAATCTTCGAAGTTTAAACAAAGTTTGTTTGGTAGATTCGTAAGAATTATCTCTTTGACTTTCTCTTTCACGATTCGATCGATCCAAATTTGATCGTTTCTTTAAAAAAATTCCAAGAAAATTTAATCTTCCAGAAACGTGATTTCTCGATCGATTTCCAACGCGACAACGAATTCTTCTGGCCGAAGCCAGAACTTTTTCGAGAGATAAAAGTGAAATAAATCGGACGCGACAAGAAGGTGGGGGGGGAGAAAGGATCCACGGAATAAACTCGAAAAGAATTTCTTTCATCGAAGGTTGCTCGAGCCACGTTGGCAATTTCTCCCGCGATAAATACACGCACGTGACATTCTGCGCACCAACTTCTGTCAAGCTTAACCCAGAATCGGCCGATTATATACGCAGCAAGTATTACGGGGCAAGTTCGTTGTCCTCTCTTTCGTGTTGCTGCCCTCTCCGCTCTTCTCTTCGTTATATTATCCCACGCCGCTTTGTTTTCACTTTATCTTGGGGGATGCGCCGACAGAGTAGTTGGTAGCGATGGCCACGATCCCTACTCGACACCTACATATTTTTCGAAACATTTTTTCGAATCTTTTCAAATTGCAACTTCTAAATTACATTCTTCTCGAACAGAGAAGAAGAAGAAGAAGAAGAAGAAGAAGAAGAAGAAGAAGCGAGCATCCGATTCATCCGTCCTTCTTTTTCTCGCGATCGAATCGGAAATATTTCTTCGAGTTGAGGAAGAAAGAGATCGTAAATTTATATACCGGATCAATGTCGATTTGAAAAATTAATTAGTTTAGTTCGTCAGTATAGTTCGAGAGGTTGGTGCCATCGCTAGAGAAAAGTAAGCGCGCAACCACCTTGTGTCACTCATCCGTCTTCTCTTTCTGCCCGCCTTCTGGCACCGTTCTCCTTCTCCTTCTCTTTCCTCCTCTTGCTCCTGTTGCCCTCTCGCCTCCCTTTCGAGCTTCTCCTTTTTGCCCGCCATCTTTTTTGCTCCCCTTTTCCCTCACGGCCGCCGCGGGAGTCGTGCTTAATTCGAGCCACTCCCGCTGTTTATTTGCACGTTTTAACTGGAAAGTCCTCCACGCTGCGCACAATGCTGCGAACGACCCTCGAACGGTGTGTGTATATACACACGTTCTCTTATCCGACCATCTCTCCTCGTTCCGTCTCCGCTCGTTCGACATTCGACTCGCCAAAGAGGACGCGCTTCGATCCTCGTCGCAACGCGCGATCGTCACCGATCGATCCGAATTATCATCAATTATCATCTTTTCCTCGCAGAGATAAATTAAATTTTCGATAAGGCCCCTCTTCAGCAAAATTTAAATACGGTTCAAGTTAAACTTACTTGGATAATTCTGCTTCGATAATTTCATATCACGTTCGAAACGTAAAATAAATAATTGGAGATAATTGTAATAGGCCGAGGTTGCGCGAAAAGCGTGTATTTACTATAATAGCTACGAATAAATGTTGTTCGAGCAGTTGTAATCGCTTAAAAGTAACGTCATTTCGAAATTTTTAAACTCGATTAATTTTTCAACTTTGATCTCTGTTTTAATTCTATTCCAAGTAACGGCTCCATACTTGAAATTATTTTCTGTTCCAAATAACACTAATACTTTTTCCATCGACGACCGAGGATAGAGAGAGAGAGAGAGAGAGAGAGAGAGAGAGAGAGAGAGAGAGAGAGAGAGAGAGAGAGAGAGAGAGAGAGAGAGAGAGAGAGAGAGAGAGAGAGAGA